GAAGAGCGATGCTGCCGCGGTCAATCTTCTGGAGGTCGATATAGCGGGTCTACTTAAAACCCACTAAATCGAACTCAGAGGGCATCCCCATCAGTACTATTACTACTGCTCCTTGTGAGGAGTAAGGGAAGCTGAAGGGAGTGTTTGCTCCCGTCAACCTCCCGCTATGGGGAAGGTGCGGAAACTCGAATTAAGGTACATCAACTCCAGCTACCTAATTAGCGTAGCTAGAGTGCATATCATAATTCGACCTTCCCCTGTAGTGTAGATATGGCCTAAGGATAACAGTTGGTTATTTGTAAAAACAACATCAGTTAGTCTTTAAGGTGCCACAGGATTCCTCGTTGTTTTTGCAGATAAACTAAAATGGCTAATCTTCTGAGAGGTGATTATTTGATAATTTTATTGTGTTTTTATTAGTATAGAAGTAAAAAATATATTGTATGTAAAACTAATACATAAAGAATACTTTAACATGCTGCCAGGAAATGAATGTATTTGTTTATAGATGAGAAGGGTCTAGAGGGTTTGAGTGGTGACCTGGGGCAGGGCATTGAGGTGCAGAGTCTGAGGGGGGGTATGGGTACAGGAGAGGATTCTGTTCTGGGGGAAGGATGTAGGAGGGAGTTGGGCTGTGGGAGGGAATGGGTGCTAGACACTTATCTAAATAAGTCCTGGAGAGCAGCACACTCAGGCAGGTTTCCCTGCTTGCAAGCAGTCCCAGACCACACTCACTGTTCTCTGTACTGCAGGGAGAGGCTTCATGCACTGTTCCTGTCCCCATACAATCTTTCAACTCCTAGGCCGTGTCCAGACTCAGGGGTTTTTTCGGGAAAAGTAGCCTTTTCCCGAAAAAACTTCCCCTGCGTCCAGACTCAAGCCGCGTTCTTTCGAAATTATTTCGAAAGAACGCGGCTTTTCTTTCGATGGCGGTAAACCTCGTTTCACGAGGAAGAACGCCTTCCTTTGAAAGTTCCTCTTTCGAAGGAAGGCGTTCTTCAATGTAAAGAGGCCGTCTTCGAAAGAGAGCATCCAGACTCGCTGGGTTCTCTCTTTCGAAAAAGCGGATTTTTCTTTCGAAAGATCCGCGTGCAGTCTAGACGCGATCTTTCGAAAGATGCTCTTTCGAAAGATGCTTTCGAAAGAGCATCTTTCGAAAGAAGCCTGCAGTCTAGACATAGCCCTAGTGACCGGCTTTTGGCCAATAGGAGCTGAGAGATTTTGCTGGAGGCAGGGGCAGTGAGTAGAGCCTCCATCCCTCCCCACAGCACAGAGAGCAACAGGGAGCAGCCAGCTGCTTTTAGTGGCACTGCTCCCTGATTCAGGGGTGGGCTGCAGTCTGGATTAAAAGGCTTGGCAGGCTGGATCCAGCCCAGGGGTTGTATCTTGCCCACCCCTGCTCTCAGATACTACAGGGCTCCTTGTTGTTTTTTCAGATGTAGACTAACACTGCTACTCCTCGGAGACTTAGGAATGTTTTAGTTAGTGCCTGCAGTTTCTACATGGGGGAATTATAACACAGTACCAATGCATGCTACTATTCACATCCATGTAGGTCAAACTGTGTGTCAACATAGAAAAGCTCAGAGAGGCATTCAGCACTTTATCATACAAAAGCTTATGGCATAAATTTCAAACTTGGATGCCCAAATCCTGAATAAAGGATTAGATGTTAAGTGTTGTTGAGCAACACCAATTCCCATTGAGTGGTACTCAATAGTGTGCTGAGCTCCTCTGACTATTTTTATTTAAAAAAACAACAAATGGTCTGGTAGCACCTTAAAGACTAACAAAACATGAAGATGGAATCATGACCTTTCGTGGGCACAGCCCACTTCTTCAAATGACTGGCCTGATTGGTTGCCTGATTTGCGCTGTCTTGGTGGCCATGCTTTTATTTTGCTTTTGTTTTGGGGGATGTTTCAGCTCATACTATTACAACAATTCTGGAATTTACACCATATCTTTGCAAGTCACTTTTTAATGTCCTTTTTGACCTAGCAAAGCAAGACACTGCACTCATTTTATTGTCAGGTTTCTGAGTGTCCTCCTTTTAAACATTGCTTCCACTCAATTCCTAAAGTTTCAGGGAATGTTCTAAGCATCAATAGGCAGAACAATCTATTGAATTTGGTGAGCACTGGAAAAAAAGCCATTTGCACTTAAAACATTTCTTGCGCTTTGTGCTGGAAGCCACCTAGTGTATTTTGCGCTGGTTAGGCCTCAGTTGGAGTATTATGTCTAGTTCTGGGCACCGCATTTCAAGCAAGATATGGAGAAATTGGAGAGGGTCCAGAGAAGAGCAACAAGAATGATTAAAGGCCTAGAGAACATGACCTATGAAGGAAGGCTGAAATAATTGGGTTTGTTTAGTTTGGAAAAGAGAAGATTGAGGGGGGACATGATAGCAATTTTCAGGTATCTAAAAGGGTGTCATAAGGAGGAGGGAGAAAACTTGTTCATTTTAGCTTCTGAGGATAGAACAAGAAGCAATGAAGGGAGGTTTAGGTTGGACATTAGGAAAAAGTTCCTAACTGTCAGGGTGGTTAAACACTGGAATAAATTGCCCAGGGAGGTTGTGGAGATATCTATGGAGATATTTAAGAGTAGGTTAGATAAATGTCTATCAGGGATGGTCTAGACTGTACTGGGTCCTGCCATGAGGGCAGGGGACTGGACTCAATGACCTATCGAGGTCTCTTCCAGTCCTAGTATTCTATGATTCTATGAAAGAGCCATCTATCAGAGATCTCTTTCCCATAGGCAACCTTAATTCTGGAATGTCCGAACTTGAGAGTTTTGACTTGGATACCTTAGTAATATTATTTTCTGTGTTGTTTCATGAATGTTTATATATGAAACCAAGTATATATTTTTGGACTCTGCTGGCTGCCCCATACCAAACAGGCACATTAGACTTGCAACTTTCTTTCTAGAAGTCTAAAAAATGTAGATTGATGTGGATGGTTACCTCAAGCTTAGATAGTTCTGGATGTTTTCTGTTTGTAATGAGACTACCACCAGTTGGTTTGATAAGACCAATGATTTTTAAATGTGGCATGGTGTATTATGTATGGTATAAGTGCTGTAAACTTTACAGAACTGTAATACTTTTAATAGTAATTTTGGAGTTACCCACTTCTCTAGATTGGCTTCAGTTTCCAG